AGCATTACAACAAATGGGTTACTCACGATGAATAACTCTTTTTTCGTGTCTACTTCCGTTCTCTATACTCTTGTTCAATAAACATGCGAAAAGAAAATATTTATTAAGCCAGCCATCGAGAAAAGCTCCAATGCGCAAAAGGCGCCTCACTGTACGAAGAGCAGTAGTTGATGTATTGCCTTTTATTAGCTTTACGCACCATGGTGAGAGTGAGGGTGGGTGTATGAGTAGGTGTGACTATGGCTCTGAGATGGGCTTGGGAGTGTGGATGAGGGTGTGGGTATGGTTGTGAGTGTAGGTGTGTGTGAGTGTGGGGTGTGGGGTATGGGTGTGGGTGGGTGTGAGTATTAGAAGAGATTAAATACCTACAGCCCACATCCACGCCAACTTCCACAACCACACTCACACCCACACTCCCCCCCCCCCCCCACCCACACCCACACCCACACCCTCGAAAGTAACTATAAATTAAAATCATTTTACTGGACTATCAAGTCATTACCCTAATGTTCGAACAGAGGTGGAAATCATTCAGAAAATCTGCGCTGTCTTTGAGATGACGTCAGTGTCTGTTCTGGTATTAAACTCAAACAAGCACAGAAAATATTTGATCAAGTGTAGAATATAGCTGAATTATACTAGAAAAGCTACTGGAAATTAAAAACCTGTTTATTATTATATTTTATTTTTCTGCCAAGTTATCTTGTCCTGCAGAAGTTTCATTTTCACAACTAAAACTAGGTTGTTTTTAATACAAATGTAGAATGTTTCAAATAATTGTCTTGATATTTCAGTCTAAACCAGTTAGGCGTGGCTGTCAGCATTGACGTATATCTTCGCTAAACTCACACTCACATCCTGAAGTAAAGTTACAACATGGCTTTTTATTTTAAAAATGTTCTTTAAAAAGCGTATCATGCTGAAGCCATGAAAATATGTTAGGTTAATCCTCATCAAATTCATCATCATCGTCATCTTGATAATCAATTTTTTCACATTCTCGAAGGTCAATTTCAATATAATTTGAAGAAATCTCACGTATTGCCTTAATTATAAAAGCTGTATATGGACCCACTAATACTTCTTTTTCATCTCTATACTCTGATATTTCTTCGATGTTTAATCCAGTTCGATCATTAATTATTTCATATGTACAAAAAGCAGATAATTTAACATTTTCACCATGTTGTTTTTTGCGATCAGGTAAATCTTTTGACGCAAATTGTTTAGCAATTTTTGGATCTTTTGTTGTTGACATAAATGCTTTGCTCATAATTTTTCCTCCAACACTATATTGTTTAAGATCATCCTGTGTCATAGTCATACCACGATAAACTTTTCCTTTATATGATAGATGTTTAAATGCTGGATTATTATAGAAAAAATCAATAAAATATGTTAGACCAAAATTTGTACCTTGATCAAAATGTCTTGCTGCTAAATCTTTATTTAATTTCTTATAAAAATCAAATTCGAACGTATATGCTTTAAGAAGAGTTATTGGATCTTTTTTTGCTTGATCAATAAATGTACTAATACGTTCTATTTCAGTGTGAGACATTTCACTCTTGATATATTTTAAACGATGGTCAATATTTTTATTTTGCCATCCAAATCCACTATGACGAAATCGATAATCACTTGCAAGAGATTCAGCTGCAGTATCACATTTCATCCAATCAATATGACCAGATCCATCAGAGAATCGAGTTGCTGATTGGCGTACAAATAATTTTTTAATTTCATCTTTTTCTACTTCATCATAAGGTAAACATTTATGTTTATTCTGTATTGAACGACTCGCACCTTTATCCAATAATAATTTAACTATTTCTGTATGACCATAATAACATGCAGCATGAAGAGCGGTAGAACCATTTGCTTGAACTTGATCGATTTCTTCTAAACTCATGGTTGGTAATTGTTCACGAACTTTATCTATCAATCCATTGCGACATGCATAATAGAAATCACTTGTATTGGACGATTTCGTTACAGAAGCCATTGATTATTCTCATAACTAAAAGAACACAACATTACTAAATTAACTTATCAGTATGATAAGTGAAACTATTGACAATGGACTAATTTAATATCGATAGAAATAAGAAGACAAATCTTTTTTTTTCTTTTTTACAACTAAAATGTTAGAGACTAATTGAAAAATGTCTATAAATACGTTCATAAAATAAAAACTGACCTTCTTAATTAAAAGACTGTAGCCACAAGTTGAATGTTCAATCTATCTAAAATCTCGCATCAAAAAATCCAAAAATGTTTTATAATATATGTCAAAAAAATATACAACAATGAAAGGATGTGTGTATTCACTTAAGAATATGCAACATATTCGAATCAAAGTGAAGATCACGAGAGCAAATAATATAGTTCAAATATGAGCTATTTATGATGTGCTCAGACTGAGATATTCACATTGAAAAGTATTTACAATATATATTAATATAACAACATATGAAAATTTCAACTAGATTTTTTTCCCGTTTCTATCACAGGTTTGGTAAATTTCGTTGAGTTAGATTCAAAAAACGATATGTTTCACATACGAAAACAAATGTTTTTTTTTCTATGTTAAACAGACTATTCATGGAACTCATCTTATAAAGATGTTGAATGACATTACCAACGAGACTTAGTCTATGCTGAAGAATTCTGAAGCTTTTTTTTGCACAAATAAAAAACTTATATTTGAAAAATACACTCTATAAATACTTTTGTATTTGAATATCTCAATTTGTGCACGTTGGAAACAACTCATATTTTAAAATTTTTAGTTTGCCAATAAGTCGTTTACTTTGATCTGAATATATTCAATGTTCTTTAGTTACAATGCATAATTACTCATTATAAGAAATTTTCTAATCCAAACTTTTTGTCTTTTCAATCTCTTCTAATACTTCAAAAAGTTCATCATTAAAATTTTTCTGTGTTAAATCAATAGGATTTTTTCCACCAATAATATGTTTTAACCATCCTTGTATTTTATATTTTACTTCTACAATAATTGGAATAATTGGACTTGAATTTTTATTTGCATATTCAACTTCAGCCATACAAACTTTCGATGCACGATATGCTGTTGATAAACAAGCAAGAATAGGTTTTCTTTTTCCTATAGCTTTTTTCATTAATTCTAATCGATGTTTTCCTTGTTTTTCACTATATACCCGATAACCTCTAGATAATAAACGATTATATATTTTGATAGTTAAAATCTTATCATGAACATTGCTACTATAACTAATTACAACGTCATATGGAATTGATTCATCCCATTCATCTGTTGAAAGAAATTGATCATCACCTGTTATATCTTCTTGATTTTGTCGTTGATGTTTCTTTTTATGTATTTGTTCTAAACGTATCATTTCTTCACTACCTAATCTCCATATGATTGCCTTTGCATGTTGTATAGATTTCTTTGAAGTTCCATTTAATAACATAAGAATTTGTTCAATAAATAAATCATTTGATTTTAATTTTGTACTTGTTGTTGGTCCATAAAATGAAAGTTTCCAAATAATAAATACAGCTGATTGTTGTATTTTTTTAAATATCTCTTGTTTTTGATCATCAGAATTTTTCTCATCTAAAGTTTTTACACAAATACATTTTGTAATAACTGAAATACCTTCTTTTTCTTCAGCAAGACTTTCATTAAATGTATCATTTTGAACAATAACTAGGATAGAAAGAATTAGTTTCTTTTTTTTAAAGAATATTTTTTTGGTTTCAATTTACTTTCAAGATGTTTTAATAAACGATGTAGTTTTATTCCTTGATACAATTGTCTTGGTTCTTTAACTGACTTATCAATATATTCAATACAAGTTTTTGATAATAAATGTGGATCATATATATCATCATAGACATTTGTATTTAACATTATTAATAAAAAATGTGACATAAAATGTATGATTTTGTCTTTGATGAGACGTAATTTCAAACAAATATTGAAAATATCTTTTGTTCTCAACATTGAAAGTATCTCATTATTCATTCCTAGATTATACAATAATATTAAAGCTTGTTCAACAACTTCAATTTTAGCATCAGCAATACGTCCATTACTATCAATTAATGATTGATCTTGTAATATTAATAGTATTTGATTGATGATTGGTAATGATAAAAATTCGCTTCGTATTGATCGTATCAATGAAAAATGATTTAATATTTTTATATGATAGCTTAATGCTGCCATTCGTGCTGCTTTGGTTTCATCTATGTTTTCTTTACCTAAATTGAAATTACACATATATTGTAAAAATAAAACAGTGACATACAGATACTCTACTTATCTGAGTCTAAATATTCGGTGTATAGATTGATTAGTAATAGCTGTTTTTGTGGGTGTACTTGCAGTCGCAAAATAAATATTATTTCACTTTAGTTAACTAATTGAAAATCTTAGTTTTACAGAAATAAACGAAAGAAGTCTTGAATATTTTGAATATTAAAAAGTTTTTATCTGACAATTTGAATTGAGACAGTATTCTCAATATGCACGTATATCGGAGCGATGTTTAACTGATTATACGAAAAGCTATTATCTATTAATAATGCAAAGCTGGATATTCGAATAAAAGTTTGTTGAATGCCCGAAATTAATTGAAATATTATTTTAGCTTCCTACGTTCTGTCCTAAACAATTTGAAGCAAATCAAGATGCTAATTACGAATAAATATGCTACTTTTATGTCATAATACTTTTGAACAAGTGGGTTAGGTTATATCAATATCTAATACGTTCAGAAAGAACCGAAGAAAAAGTCAAAAGCTAATGGGTATCCAAGTATTTTTTACGAACCTTGCCATTTTTTTTCATGCTTTTTCTCAAATCGTTCATTTAGTGGCATATGGTACCGCAAATTCATTAAGCGATTATCTTAATAGCTATGTTGTGAATTTTGATACTCGAGTTATGGATATTATGATATCCCTCTAAGGGATTCAGAAGTGTGTTTAATCTCTGTATGTATTTCATTTCTTCTTCTCCAATGCTTAACTTTTGAATTGTAAATGAATCGGAAATGGAAGTGCAGATCTGTAAAGAAAACAATTTTCAATCGGAAATTCTTAATGGATGATCTCATGTAAATTTTTTCTACAGGTTCACAGATGCGAATTTATTTAGGTTTTTACTAGTCATACAAATACCTACTTGTAGTGACAATATGAGCAGAAATTTAACCAAAAATCGACATTAGTCTTTTCAGATTTTGATTTGAAAATCATCTTACCTTCATCTCCGATTAGAATAGATAAATGTTGTTCGAATATTGTTTTAGTATATTCCAACATTTTTTTGCCTAATGAATTTGCTATATCTTTTCGTTGTTCATAATCATGTCGAAAAAGAAATTCTGGGCATTCACGCATGAAGAATATATGTTTTGCTGCAAGACCGCAATTGGTTAGCGTAGCTCTCGATGTTACTTTCGTTTTGTTAAGATCAATTTTTTCAAAAACTTCAAGATAAAACTTTGAATTTAAACATTGCAATACTGAATCTAATAATGATTCAACTTCTTTGGTTTCCTGTTTTGCAACAACACGAACTCGTCGAGCAACATTTTTATATTTCAATGCATTTGATGGATATTTAGTTGTAGATAAATGTTCAATATCTCGGCTTAAATTTGTCAAATATGTTTCATTTAAAAACCTAAGTTTTACATTATCATCTCGCTCTAAAAGATAAGAAATAATACTGTTGTATTATTTGACGGAAAGAAGTTTACCTTTAATATTCTTTAGAACACTTAATGTAATTTTATGTTTTGATTCAATAATAGTTTTTTCAAAATATTCAGCATAAGCCTTCTTTAACTCCATAGGTTCATTTTCTTCATCAATATCATCATGACTTAGAATTGTTGATAATGTTTTATATACGAATTGCAACGTATTATCTTTCGAAGATTGTAATTTAGAAAAAATATTTTGAAGATTTTTTTGTTTTAATATTGAAAATATTTGTTTTTCATAAGCTAAATTATATAATAACATACAACTGTATGCAATAATACTAACATCCGCATGAAAGAGTTCTTGATTTTCACATGCATTATCAATTAAACAATTATGTTGTAAGATATTCATCATTTGATCAATGATATTACTTTGTATGAAGTATCGTCTACCGGATGATGTTAGTGAGAAATGATTTAATAATTCCAAATGACAGCTTAAAGCATGAAGAGCTATTCCTCGATCATAATAATATGTTGAATCAAGCTCGTCACCTTCAAAAAAAAACAGAAATACGATTACGGATATCTATACGAACAGATTTTTATACCAAGTCGTTAGTAATAAAGTCAAAGAGTGCATAACTGATTCTATGACATCAGAATTATATGAAATTACTTTGAATCACTAAAAGCACTTGAAATATCATTACTCAATACTTGT